AATGTTTTTCTTGAGGAGGTGTTTTTTGCAGTTCTATGATTTTGGATACGTTTTATTTTGCATCCCGGTGTCTTACTTTGGTGGTCGGCACAGTAAACCGGTTGTTCTTGGTGCTGGATTAGCTCTTATTGCTACTGGTAGTATTTTGTTTTCTACACCGCATATGTTGGCGGATAGTTATTCAACAAATCAGGAAAATAAGGCCTATGGATCTTGCTCAATTCAAAGTATGTCAGAATCTATTCATCTGCGTGGTCAGCTGATTGCTTTTTAGCACCCTGGAACATTTCTGATGCCGACGCAATGGCCTTGACCGCCAGCTGTGAGGCGGAAAAGCAGACCCAGGTACATTTACTGTGAGGTTTGTCTCGTGGCTCATCAGAAAGTTTTACTTGATTCAGCCAGGGACATTTCGTTATGTGGTTTTATTTTGCTTGGCACATTTTCTTCACGGCGTCGGAGCGACCCCACTTTACACTATAGGAGTTTCGTATATAGATGAGAATGTGGGAAAAGCGTTGTCGTCGCTGTATGTTGGTGAGTGCCTGCACTTCATACTCCAAAGCAGAATGGGCATTCGGCTCATTGTTTTCTCCCCGCAATCATGCATGTTTGGCATTTCAGGGATCTTTTATTCGTTTGCTGTTTTTGGCCCAGCGGCAGGATTTCTATCTGCTGGTTCTTTTCTTACATACCACACTGATTTCTGGCATCTTCCTGCTGAACAGATTCTGAGGTGATCGTTGACCGTGCACATCGTATTAAATTGGCTGGAGTAGATTACTTCTTCCATATAAATCCATTGAATCTATAGGGTAAGTGGAGACGAGTCAGATCCATCATGGGTTGGAGCTTGGTGGCTTGGCTTCGTTCTCGCCTCCGTGGTGGCCCTGGTAGCTGTGATCCCAATAATCTGCCTCCCAAAAGTGCTTCCCGAGTCATTGAAATGGCATAGGTAAACGCTTTTGTGCATTAACACTACTCAGTGTGTACACCAGTGACTTTGTCATGACGGACTGATCACTGTTCTGTAGAAACCGACTTGTCGAGACCTCCCAGACCACTCGAAGACGCACTCCTGAATGTTGCGGACTTTCTGGTACGAATAAAACTGCAGCTCTCTATAGAGATGCTCCTTCGCAAGGTACCTTT